TTGTCGTCACATAGCACGGCGGCTGGCTTGTGGAGTTGTTGGCCGACCAGGTTTCGACTGGTCTTTTTAGGGATGGATGGGTTTAATTTCCATCGGTCATGAAAATCACGCATTTGATGGTCTTAATTTGTAGGGACTATCACCGCCCACTTGGAGGGGGTACAGTTTAATACATACAGGCTTGAGATACATACCTTGGTGGATGACCACCGGTTTATTCGGGTATAGAAGATAGATTCGGTTCCACCGAGGAAAAAAAAAATACTGAGGGGTTTCCATCTTTTTCATTCTATTCTATTTTAGTCTACTTTGTTTTTTTTTCTTCTGCTTAACCCTTTTTTGGGGGGGGGGGGGGGGGCAGTTCGATATATTTCTTCTGTGCAATGGAGCAATGTGATAAGGATCGGAGCGCCGAGTTCCTGATCGTTAGAGTGGCCTGCAATTGGCAGGCTACATATTGTGTTCTCGTGCTTAATGGGACAGTTCTAATCTTGATTGATCGGTTATACAGGTTAATTAATTTATTATAAACAGCTAGGCATCTGTATTATTATTTGCCGTGGCTAGCGTACATTTTCTATCTTTGTGTACAGTACAAGCCACAGCCAGGTACTAAACTAATCCTCTTCTAATCTCCTGAGTTCCATTCGATCCTTAGGTAGTTTTCCCTATTTTCCTTTTTTCGCCTGAACTCCTAGATCAAAGCAAAAGCCACATCCTGTACTCATCCTTTGTTTGGGCTTGGGGGAACCTGAGAGAGTGCAGTCTAGAGCTAACAAGCGGTAATAATCCTGCGTGTTATAGCCCACTCCGGCAACAATAGATTCAATCAACTCAGCAAGACTAAACTATCCACTTTCTTTTCCAAGGAGTATCTCCGAGATCATCTCAAACTCGTCCTCTTGTTCTTTCTATTTTATTTCATTCTTTTTAACCCCTCCCGCAATCCATGGTAGGATCACATTTTCCAGTCACACGCAGAAGTACTCGGGGGGTTTGTATGAGCTGTCTGACAGCGGATATCAACTGGTAGCGCGTTGGACCTCATAAGCATACCCTCGAGCCCATCTGGGTCAGCAACGCGCAGTAGTTTTTCACAGATCAACATAGGTCCGGAACCTTAGCTTGCAGGAAGCCTTTATTTGATTCCTTTGTTTTTAGCATTCATCTCCTTCTGGGGTGAGATGGAGGTCATTCACCAGTGCGAATGACTCTTCTGATTCCCCGCGCTGGGAGTCGCGGCTTGCGGGTAAAATCCAATATTACCCTAACGGGGTTAGTGCATCAGATGTCAGACCCCTGATGAAAGGAAAGCAATCAGGTCAGTCTTTGCTTTGTTCTTGTCCTGTTCATTTACCCATTGTTGTGATTTGGCCTGCGTGTACGGAGTACATAGAGTCTATCGGTTGATGATGTTCCTGAGTCATCTTGCTTTCCTCCTCCGTTTCTTCATCATCTTTTTTTTTCTTTTTCCCTCTGGGCTTATCATCCATCGAATGGTTGGTGATGAGGAACTCTGTAGTCTTGCATGTGGCTTACTCAGCCCTCGGATGGAGGTTCCAGCAGTGTCATCACCGCAACTCTTCCACATAATAATGCTACAATGGATACGCATTGTAAGCAGCATAGATCATTATGGATCACATTCTACATCAGCTTCCTTGCACCCACTGTTCTTTTAACTTTCTTGTGTCAAGAACAAGTGGTACAAGCTGACACCCCACAGGAAGGCCTGCTACCACCCTTCGGCCAGCCCTGAGTCAAGCGAACACTTGCCATCCTAGGCCAAGCAAGGAAGAAACAGTCACCACTGCAAGCCACGTACATTGCCTTTGAGTTGAAACTCTGTGCCAGTAGTGAGGATATAACAAACCATAAGACTTATGGTCGGGATATCCCAAAGCGGGACGTCATACAAAGAACGTTGAAATCGCATCGACTAGAGAGAATCACTCTCCATCTGATCTCAGAAGCATAAAAGCTTACCTACAGCGGTAGACGCCGTACCACCAACCCATCCAGAACCCATTAAGGCGTCTGCACCCGATGGATTTGGTGATCTGGTCGTGGGCCTTCGTTGCCATGAACGCTGGAACGCCTCAGCTGCATCTGATTCAAAAGCTGCCCAAGGCGTTTCACTTCCCTACGACAAAAACCGTGTCTATGGGTCTTCCGTAAATATCCGCAATCATGACGCTTCATGGCTTCCCCGCTGCGTTGGGTGTCCAGCTTACCTTTTCGGTGCGTCGCACAACATTGCAATCCAGACTACTTCCCACTTCTTGTCCATAACCATAAGCAGACCACCTCCCTGTCCTTACCCATTTGCAGCAGACTACGAGACTGCCCAGCTGCAGTCACCCAAAAGTACAGGTGTCTTGCCTCACCCTAGTCCCCCGTGAAATATCTGCAGTCTGGTCACACAGCCAACACTAACCTGCCTGAAGCTCCGGGCAGAGATCAACAGACGGCCCTCTACATTGCTCTTGGACCTCCTCCCTCGACATGATAAACAACTGAGAGGTTGAACAGCAATCACGAATACACTTCATAAAATCTTATTGTCGGCTGCGTCGTTGGTGAGTCCCATGGCGCTTGAGCTGAGTTCACACCATTGTAAATCTAGCTAGCCACCCCAGACACGGTGTGCAGGGGGTGCATAGATAGTCGAAGATGAGGAAGTATACGTATGTTTCTACGCTGGTGCTGTATCTTTGGCGGAAAAGGAAATAGTCTATTGGCTCGTACAGCAATACTTTTGCTCTTCGCTATATATCTAAGCTCTACTACGTATCTCTTTATAAAGCTAGATCTAAAAAACACCTCAGCAATAAAACTGCATAGTACTTTTATCTTGCAAGGCGTGTATCTCGTATGTACTTCTCAATTATATGTAGTAGATGCCACACAGCACACAGACAACCTCGGACTCATACATAGTAAAGATAATAAGAACCCACTCTAAGTAACAATCAGAACACAGTAACAGACCTGTCAAGCAATACATAGCCTTCAGCTACATACAGATGTACAATACGGTTACTACCTGCCTTCCATATCCTTAGTAAATAACTCAATTCATCTACGCACCTAACCTCTAAAACATATATATATAAAAGAAGCCTACACTCACCAGCTAAACCCATCCCAATACACACCATGACGTATTGTGAGCACATATGCACGCTATACTCATACATACATCTATGCATATACATTAGTGTATGTATCCTTGGGTTGTTGACGGGTCATAACTCTAGTAGTGGGGGGGTGTATAGGTGGGTTTGCGTGTACTGGTGGGGAGTTTATTTGTCTAGATTTCTGGGAGATTGGGTGGAATTAATTTTTCTGGGGGTTGTTTTATATATTTACAGTATACGTAGCTGGGAGGATTGGATAGCGGGGGTTAGGTATACAGGTGTATATATTAGTATCTCCTCTAATTATGTATGTCTAGATATGTATTTGTTGGTGTTTATATTGTTCTGTAATGTATCAAACCCCCCATCATCATACCTTACTCGTAACCGTAACTTCAGTCGTAGGAATAGGATCGTCAGGATGATCATCATCAACCTCATCAATCTCACGCTCGTGTCGAGCCTGGTCATCGTCGACAGTATCGTCAACAACAGCAGGAGTCCTCCCAATAACCCCCCTAGCAGTATCCCTCCGATCCAGATACGCCACAAGCCCAATAAACGGAATGGTCAACGACCCCGTAACCAAACTAGCCACATACCCCTTCTCAAAATGCGGCGCATCAGTAACCGGATAAAACACCAACGGCCACCAAGTGACAAACGCAAAATCGAACGAGTTCATGAACCCCGTCGTGATGGCCCGCAGCTGCAGATCATGGCCCGTCACGTCCGCCATCCATGAGTACCAGAGGGCCTGGGGGGCATACGTCGTGCCGAGCAGGTAGAAGGCGAAGAAGTGGCCGGCGTCGGCGGCCGGGTTAGCCACGAGGATTGCGCTGCCGATGACGAAGGTCAGCCCGATTGCGAGGGAGCATTCCCAGCGTGATTGCAGTTTGTCGGAGATGGCGGAGTAGAGGATTGTTCCGAGGATGGCGGTTGCGTAGATGCCTGTTGGGTAGTTGTTTTGTTGGATGGTTGTATAGCCGCGCGAGGACATCCAGAGGGCCATTACGTTGTTGCCTAGGGATTGGACGCAGAGGGAGTAGACTTTGTTTTCCTTTTGTTAGAGATATGGGGTTGGTGAGGGGTTTGTGTTTCTTCCAGGGAAGGGGGAAGGGGAAGTAAATGCTCACGCATGAAGATGAGTGGTAAGAGGTAGAATTGCCAGCTGAGTAGGACGCGCTTTAGTACGGTGCGATCCCATGTTTGCTTGGATGTCTGGCCCAGCCTGTGTGCGGCATGCTCTTTCTCTGCCTCGTTTAGATACCATGCTGCGCGATGTGCTGGGAGATCAGGTATGAAGAACCATCCTAATAGCCTCTGTATCAGTATCTGGAAGATGGTACTTGGCTTTCAGGGGATGTACCGAATAATGCGACGGGAATTGTCATCACCGAGACGATAATAAAGATCCATCGCCACGCAGGTAAACCGCCGTGCCCAGCCAATGCTTTCAGTAGTCCTGCTTGTATCCATCCGCCAGCCATGCTGCCAACATGACCGAAACAGCAGAAGACGGCCGCTCGAGTACCTAGCTCGGACTTCCGATACCAAGAGCCCAAGATAAAGTGTGCACCCACACTGCCAGCTTGTCAGACGTAAGGGAGGCCACATCACCTGGCGCAGGGCACTACTCACTAGGCAATCGCCGAGAAGCCGCCCTCAATGGCATTCAGCAGAATAACCTGCCAGGCCTGAGTCATTCTGTATGTGATAAGAGTGAGAACACTCCATGTCAGGTTGGCTGCGACGAAGACATATTTGGGCCGTACAACGGTTAAAAGACTCGTCCCGGGGATTTGGCAGACGGCGTAGACGACTAAATAGGCTGTGTTCATGTAATTGTAATCTTTACCCTGGAAGTTTAAGGCCTCGCGCATGCCACTGATATATGCCGACGAGTAACTGGCTCGCGTTACACCGAACAGAAACCAGATGAGGGAAAAGTATGGGAGCAGCGTGAGATCTAGCTTCGCGAGTAGGGCTCGATCCTTCGGCTCTCTTCCCCAGATGATTGTTGCGATTTTATTCATGGTCGGGCGAGCCATGGCGATAATTATTGCTATGTATCCCCTTCATCTGTTAGATCAAGGATTTACCTCAACGTTCATTAAGAGTCGGTCGGAAGTCATCTTTAAAAGGGTTGTGATGATCACGCAAAATGAGTGGAATCCGGCGACTTATTTATCTCCGGCGCCGAATGATAGGCGGATGCATGGAATGCTTGCAGAGAGGTCAGGGCATGCTCCACTGGAGTACTTCTAGTAAGATACTTCACGCTTCAGCAGCTTCAAATCCTTAGATGAGGCTTGTAATTCAAGTATTAATGAAGAATTGGCATTGTTAAGCTTGTGCGCATATGTGGCAGCTGACAAGGACGAGACGGCAGTCATCTTGTACACATGCTTAGTATATACGGTATACCGCGCGGAAACGATACATGAGATAGATAGAGCTGACAGGGTGAATGAGTAGTACATCACAGTGATAGCTGTTCTTCACTAAAACGCATATCACCTCATTTGAAAGATCCCTTGGAGTCTCAGGGTTAAGGTAAAACTTAAGCTAGATCCTGTTCTGTCGCAATCCACTACCGCATTCGGCATCAAGAGCTACTGCCACCTTCGGAGGAGTCGCAAACCATCGCCCAATCGACAACTCCGTAATCCATCCTTCGCTTGTCCACCTGTTCATGAACGGTCTAGAATTTTTCCATCGACACTCGGACTAAAGGTCTGAACCGCCATAACCCTAAAGTCAGTGGTGAATATTATGACACAGCTGGCGTCTTTTATGACGATACCTCTGCGTCTATCAAAAAAGTGGTCGTCTGACTTGTCTCTGCATCCATTCTTCTTGGCTTGCTCACTTTAACCACACACATTTACACTTACGATCACTTTAACAATCGCGCTGCCGTGGTTATGACTAATTTAATTGCAGCAGGAACTATGCTGCTACTTGACTTGAGGGGCTGTCCCGACGGAGTAATGTCGCTGGCCGACTATACGAGGTTAACTCAATGATGGATATAGAGGGGGTGGGATTCTTCTATCCTTGATTTCATGTTATAAACCAGTCATTCCTCTCCCTGATACACTATTGAACGTCAACAGCAGCTAACATGGCGTCGTCAGCTAAAGAATCAACATCTACTACGCATTATAATGACTGGCCAAATACACAGGGTGTAAGTTGCATTCGCTGCCATACTCAACGGCCTCACTAAAAAAGCTAGTTTGATGTCCGCTACCAAGAGCTTCAACCGACAGAGTTACCCATCCAAGGCACAATTCCGCCCTACTGCGTCGGCGTCCTCTTTCGCAACGGACTAGGCCCTCGCGATATCGAGACGGAGAATCAAACTACCTATCGTGTGAGCCACTGGTTTGACTATTTTGCCCAGGTCCATCGCTTTCAGATTCATGCTCCTACGCCGGAACAACCCCGGGTCCGCGTCACACACAACTCCCGACTGACCTGCGACGGCCTCATTCGAAGGATACAGCGAACAGGATACCGTGGCGAGATCACTTTTGGAGCCAAGTATGATCCATGCATGTCGCTCTTCCAGAAGGCGCAGTCGGTTTTTAGGACCATTCCACGAGGCCCTCCCGACGAGGTCGACATCAGCGTCACTTTGAACGTTAACTTTCCCGGCTTATCGGTGACGGGCAGCAAGCAGGAGAAGATACCCAGGCCAGGTATCCAGACACTCTGTAACCGCACCGATAATTCTACTTTCCAGATGCTCGACCCTCAGACTCTGGAGCCAATTGGTATTGCGGACCAAACAGTCTTGCATCCCTCACTCCGGGGACCCCTTAGTGCGGCCCATTGCAAGACGGACCTGATCACCGGTGATGTCTACAACTATAATCTCGACATAGGTCTAACAAGCACCTATCGTGTCTTCCACGTTTCTCGCTCAACAGGAAAAACCAACATTCTTGCAACGTTCAAGCATGCTGCTACATACGTGCATTCGCTTTTCCTGACGGAGCACTACGTCGTGCTCTGCCTTTGGAACGCCCGCTTTCGTGTTGGAGCAATGTCCCTGCTATGGACACACAACTTTGTAGATGCATTGGTAGACTATGACCCTACACAGCGCAGCACTTGGTTTGTGGTTGATCGTACCCCTGGAGGGCGGGGATTGATCGCGCGCTACGAGTCCGATCCTTTCTTCAGTTTCCATACTATTAATTCGTATGAAGAGCCTTCATTGAGCGATCCCTCTAAGACAGATATTATCGCCGATGTTTGTGCATACGGCAGCCTAGACGTACTGAAACGCTTCTACATCGACAACTTACTGTCCGACTCAGCCACAGCTCACCATTATGGCGAGTCAAGGAACCACAAGGCTCGCGGGGCTTTCCGTCGTTTTAGATTGCCTACCGTTCCCGAAGCATCGAATCACAAAACCCTCCTGGCGGAGATCGTCTTCTCGATGGAAAAGGGACTAGGACCGGAACTGCCCCAAATCAGCCCTCGAGTACGTGGCCGCAAGTACCGCTACGTGTACGGCGTGACTGACTCGGGAAAAAGTGTTTTCCTGGACGGCCTGGTCAAACATGATATCGTTACGCAGACATCGCTTTATTGGAGTCAGCATGGGCAGACCGCAAGTGAGCCGATTTTTGTAGCAGATCCAGATTCTGAGGACGAGGATGGTGGTGTACTCTTGTCCGTCGTGCTGGATGGCATTGAAGGACGTAGTTATCTGTTAGTTCTCGATGCAAAGACAATGACAGAGGTCGGGAGGGCTACAGTTAATGGTGTGGTTGGCTTCGGATTCCATGGTGCGCATGTTAGGGACACCTAGGCCTTTTTTTTTTTTTTTATTGTCTTCTTTCTCCCTGCTATGTTGAAATTTTTTTGACCCTATTATAATTGATATTTGGGTGCACAATGTAGTTCTGCTTTTTTTTTATATCAATGTTGTCTCGAAGATGATACAATAAGAATGTAGCCCTATTTATATCGTACTAACATGATCCTTGAGCTAGCGTAGCTCAACGGCATTATCACATTTTTAAACAAACAACTGATAATCAAGCAATTCTGATCCCCGGCAGTCTAACATGACAAATTGAAGAAGCGTGCCGATCACAAGCTATGTTTATATCATGACTTATACACTACTCGATATGCTGTTTAACTATCGATAGCCAAGCATTTCTAAACAGTAAAGACATGGACATAATGAGAATATCCTATTTATGTCTCTCCGAAACTCGAGCTCCCCGACCCAACATCATGTGCTAACCACATGCAATGTCTTCTCGCTTCAATCGGAAGACACAGGAAGAACAGAATTCCCTCATATTCATGGCATGACTGCTAAGACCCCCCCCCCCCCCCCCCCCCCCCCCCCCCCCCCCCCCCCCCGGAAGGAGTGAAAGCATATGCACATTGATATTCGAATATATTCACCCAAAGGAGCATATTGGTCTAGACTGGACCCTGACGGGGCCAGACGGGTTGAGGATCTAACACTAAAAGCTACTGAAGCGAGAGAAAGAGACCTCCTCTTCTGACAGGTCACTTTGGACATAGGACCAATGCCGAGTTTGCTCCGAGTAGAGTTAAATTGCTGGCCACTCTGAACATCGATTCGAGTCAAACGTATGAGCTACACAGACTACTCGGGTTGATAGGCTCCAGAAAAGAGTCCAAATCAATAAGCAGTCGCCACGAAAGGACGCAGAGGAGCTAAGATTAGAGAGTGGATCTGTTTCCCCGGATTCTTACGGCGCCCTTCATCCGGAATTTGTTCGATGTCTAGTTAAAAGGAGCTGGGAAGGTCTAGATGCGGGTGAACCCGGCTGGTTCTCGGGAAGGACCGTCAGCGGTATGGGTTCTGAGTCAGCTGGCATGGGCACATTGCGGATGCGCCTAAATAGGAAATTTAGGAGATACCGTAAGGGAACGTTCGGATAGCTGATGAGGAGAAAGTGGGATTGGGTGGATCGCGATATTATTATCAATGGATAAGGAAGTGGAAGATGGTAGACATTTGAGTCATATGCCGATAGCTAGGTATGCTATGCGACATTGTACATACATACTACACCCATACACCGAGTACATACTCGGCATATATTGTACTGTAGGTACGGAGTATTCCGTATAGTAACTACAGTTCGTCATTGAGATAAGAATCCCTGTCCATACTGCAGACGTTTAAGGTCTAGAAGGATGGAAGAACCCTTGTTGAGAATCCATTTCCTTCTGTCCGTCATTTCCGTGTAGGGAACTGGTTATAAGAGAGCTTTCATACCCACTGTAGGATCTCCATTGCAGATAATTTTCCCCTCACAAGGCGTGTTGACTCTCGAGTGCTTCTCCTCACGAGCAGAAACTTCCCCCTCATTCTCCAACACCCTGCAGGAAAAATCGACTATCCCAGAGGGAAGAGTGTTAAAAAAAAAATAAAATAAAAGAAAAAATAAATAAAAATTTAGGGTCGGAACCGGACCCAGTTGATCGGGAGGGCGTCTGGCCCCGGCGGCATCCTCAGGCTGCAAATCCCTTGGACCCAGTTTTTTTGCCCCATTCACAGGACGCGGAAAAGCTCCTAATTGGGAAGGCATAAGCCCGGCGGAACTTGGAAAGAGTCGAAAAGACACCCAACTTCCAAGGCTCCAAGGCGTACAAGTCATTGACACACCGATTCGCCCAAAACAGCTAATTTCTTATCGCGTCACTGATCCAGCGCCTCCGAAAACTTTTTTTTTTTTTTATTAGTTTGACGAAATTGATTTGACTCAATTGTCAATAGGAATCCAAATCAATTTCCAGATTCTTTCTCTTTCTCTTCCCTCTCAACTCTCCTCCCCCTCTCCACTCCTCACCCATTTTGGGCGACCACAACCGACAATGGTTGGAAGTGCGCTTGCTATCCGGTCTAAGATGGCTACGCCATCGGTTATGTCGTCGCTGTCGCGCAGGTCGCTCTCGACGCGCCCTCATGCCCTTCGCTCCGCTCGTCCCTTGAGATCCAGCGGTTTCTCCCAGCAGTCCGTTCAGCGCACTGCTCGCCGCTCTTACGCTGACGCCGCGCCCGCGCCGAAGCCCAAGAAAGGATTCAGGTTCTTGCGCTGGGCCTGGCGCTTGACCTTGCTCTCCGGTCTCGGCCTCACTGGTTATGTGGCGTATAGCGTCTATGAACTTCGTCATCCAATTGAGCAGATTGGGCCCGATCCTACTAAGAAGACCCTGGTGATCCTGGGTAGGTTACCTCAAACCCTGTTTCTTCGCCATTGATATGGTTATACAATGTGGACATGCGATTAACCCCGCGCAGGTACCGGATGGGGCTCTGTTTCTCTTCTGAAGAAGCTGGATACCGAGAACTACAATGTCGTCGTCATCTCCCCCCGTAACTACTTCCTTTTCACCCCTTTGTTGCCTTCTTGCACCACGGGTTTGGTCGAACATCGCTCGATTATGGAGCCGATCCGTAACATCACTCGCCAGAAGAATGCCTACGTCAAGTTCTACGAAGCCGAGGCGACCAAGATCGACTACGAGAAGCGTGTCGTGTACATTAGCGACGACTCCGAGATCAAGGGTGACATCTCCAAGACTGAGGTGCCTTTCGACATGCTTGTTGTTGGTGTCGGTGCTGAGAATGCAACCTTCGGTATGTAACCTAGATTAGCCCAAGCGAAGGAACCAACGCTGACTGCTCATTTAATAGGCATTAAGGGTGTCAAGGAGCACTCTTGCTTCCTGAAGGAGGTCGGAGATGCCCAGAAGATCCGTACGCGTATCATGGACTGTGTCGAGACCGCTATCTTCAAGGACCAGACTGAGGATGAGATCAAGCGTCTTTTGCACATGGTTGTTGTCGGTGGTGGCCCCACTGGTGTTGAGTTCGCTGGTGAGATCCAGGACTTCTTCGAGGAGGATCTCAAGAAGTGGGTTCCTGAGATCAAGGAGAACTTCAAGGTCACCCTCGTTGAGGCTCTTCCCAACGTGCTTCCCATGTTCTCCAAGCAACTGATTGACTACACCGAGTCGACCTTCAAGGAGGAAGCTATCACCATCCGCACCAAGACTATGGTCAAGAACGTGACTGATAAGTACATCGAGGCTGAGGTCACTAAGCCTGATGGAACCAAGGAACTGGAAACCATCCCCTACGGTCTCTTGGTCTGGGCTACCGGTAACGCCGTCCGCCCTGTTGTCCGGGACCTTATGAGCCAGCTCCCCGCCCAGAAGAACTCGCGCCGTGGTCTTGCTGTTAACGAATACCTTGTCGTCAACGGCGCGGAGAACGTTTGGGCCGTTGGTGACTGCGCCATCACTAACTATGCCCCCACTGCTCAGGTTGCTGGCCAGGAGGGTGCTTTCCTTGCTCGTCTCTTCAACACAATGGCTAAGACCGAGGCGATCGAGGATGACCTGAAGCGGCTGTCGGAGTCTCAAGCACAGGCCAAGAGCCCTGAGGAGCGCAACCAGATCTTCGATGAGATCCGCGAACGCCAGAAGCAATTGCGCAGGACTAAGCAGATTGGCCCCTTCCAGTACTCCCACCAGGGAAGTCTGGCTTACATCGGAAAGGAGCGTGCGGTTGCAGACATCAGCTGGCTGAGCGGCAACATCGCAAGTGGTGGTACCATGACCTATCTTTTCTGGCGCAGTGCTTATCTGAGCATGTGCTTCAGCAGTAAGTGACCCCTTGGACATACCTATACAACAATGTACCTATGCTAACACATAAAATAGCTCGTAACCGTGTCTTGGTCGCCGTCGACTGGATCAAGGCTAAGATGTTCGGCCGTGACGTCTCTCGGGAGTAAATTAATCTCTCGCAAAAATAGATTTGGAACCAACTGTATCACCAAAAACAGCAGATATGCTACGTCTACGATTTCGGAGCGAGAATTTTTTTTTTTTTTCCCCGTTCATTCTACCATTCTACCTTTGATGCCCGTTCACATGACCTTTTACCATCTCTCTTTTCTCGTTTCTTTATCCTCTTCCCATTGAAAATGAATGGGACACTCATCATCCACTCCGCCAATGCCCATCTTCCTCTTTCCACATCTGTCTAGAAGGTCCCACTTGATATCCCCACGGGACCCGCCTTGAAGGATAACCACCAAGGCATGCTGGAGATGAAAAAAGAAAGAGAAGAACAAAAAGCATTAATCTTTATCTCTGTGTACGAATTAGATAGACCGGTTGTGGGGTTACTGTTTATTTAGATTTGTTAGATTTGGCCATAATCATTCTATATTCTTTCTTTTGTTCATTTTTGGTCTCCTTTAATCTTCCTATCTTTAAATCGTTGACATATATCGCGGTTAGGGATGTGTATTATTATATTTTATAAATATGGTTCTTTCCATTGCGTTTGGAAATCGTTTGGTGTTTTATGAATTATTTTTTCAGTTGTTAAAGTTTGTTATCTTGAGCTAGGTTGTAGGTTTGCATTATGTAGAAGGTAGATATTTCTATCGATGCCAGATAATTTTCACATGAACGTCTGATATTGGAGAGAGGTACAATGAAAGAATGAATAAACCAAGCACTCGCTGTGCTAACGCCTATCCTGAAGTGATTCTTGAGCTATAAACAGACCCTATTGGTGGTATGGTATACAGGAAGCTAAGTAAGAGAAGTAGAGAGAAGGCGAAGAGAATGTAATGTGTCGGGTGCTATGAAAGAGAGGATGGAGACGGAGCGAAGTAGTAAGTAGGTAGTGGAGGAAGGGATCTACTCAATTAGAACAGGTTCCAGCCACGATTTCTCTGCTCTTTGGACAGAGGGCGGTCGGCGTTTCTATGTTTGCTGCGACCGTCCAACTGGCGGATGCTTTCGATTTTCTGCAGGGCTAGTTCGAGGAGTTCCTTCTTCTTGATCACGTCGAGATGTCTTCGGATGCGAGGGTCCTCGCGGGCGAAGCGTTCTACTTCTGCGTCGGAGAGGTGACGGCCTAGTCTCATGTCCAGTTCTCTAGGAAAGTTGTAGTAGAACTCGGACAGGAGCTCGACGTTTAGGAATAGTACCGCGGTTGAAGTGAGCTTGTCTGCGACGACGTCGAGGAAGACTTCGGGGCAGTAGTACTTGTTCTTCTTGCTGGAACATTGCTTGGAGCGGACGGCGAGAAGTCTCATTTTGAGGAGATCAGCCCGATCGCGTAGGAAGGCGCTTTCGCGACCTGTTTTGATTAGATTCAAGTATATATTGGTAGCATTGGGGACGTAGACATACCTGTGGCTAGGAGGGCAGAACTGAATCCACCTGCACCACCAGCACCGTCGCCTTCCAAGACCACTTCGCCTTTCCTGACCTTGTCTATAAATGACATCACATCCTTGATCTTTCTCCTACCAACGGAGTCCTCGACACGTTTCAAAGCCGCCTCACACGCCTTAAGCTCCTCCTTAAGCACTCTTGTTATGTTTTCCCTTCCCTTCGCCCACTCTGGATCTTCAACTTCAATTTCGTATTTATAAGGCTTGATGCAGTTCTCGACTTGATCGCTGGTGCTGAAGAATCGATCATTCAGGATGCTGCTGCAAGCATCCACGATCTGCTTTTGAGCATATGGGTGAGAGGCGAAGGTAGAGTTGGCCAACAATGACTCAACACGGTTCTGGATTGCATTCGCAACAACAGTCGTAGCAAGCCTGCCGATTCCCAATTTGGTCAAAGAAGAAGTTGACGCGTCGAGCTTGCGGTGCCAATACATTGACTCCGGATCGGCCTTGGGAAGGTCAATGAGGGGGTCCAACTCAGGCATCGGAGGATTCAAGTCGTCAATTGGCTTGTTCCAATATCTCTGAGCGAGGATGTCCATGACGCGTTGATCGAGCTCGTTTTTCAGCATCTCACGCACTTGAGGACGGCCAAAGTTTTCCGCGAATGCCTTGAAGGAGTGCTTGAAGCTGTCCAGGCTCTCGGCGAGATACGACTCTGCGCTCAGCGGACGATCATTATATTGAACCTTGAACTCGTACGTCGCTTCTTCCAGTTCCTGGCTGATAGCGTCCCTAGTACCCGCTAGGCTAGATGCCATCGTCTGTTCAAGAACATGCATAAGTTTGGTTCGCAAAGTTCCAACGCCAACCGACACCTCTGACTGGGGCCCAAACTCGGATGGATGAGAAGAGAAATAGGCATTTTCATTCTTGATGATCGCGCTCGTGATGTTGCCACTTCCCCGAGAGGAGAACAGAGCGGTCGTCTGGGGGATTCGCGAGACCACACCCACGTAGCCCAGGCGAAGGGGGTATTTTTTATCAGTAAGAATGCTATAGCCACGTTCCGGGTCAACAAGGTCCATCTTTGTGATGACACCGATGGTCCTTTCGCCCCTAGGGTCTACCCTGCGACTTGCTCTCAATGCTGTCGAATTGGCAAGATCAACATCTGCCGCAGATATAGCTAAGATAACATTTGGCGCTTGGATGTACTTGTCACATAGATCAGAGATCTTTTGCTTCAACTGTGGAGGTTGACCTTGGCCGGAAACCTGGATATAGCCTGGGAGGTCAATGAGGGAAAGATCGGGAACATTAGGAGAATAGATGGTAAGTTGAATTGGGTCGTCACTGACACATTCCCTCTCAGGGACTGCCAAGTTAAGGTCGGTCAAGGTGCGTTGAATCGAAGAAAAGTCGGTTATCTTTCCTAGACCGAGGGCTGGAAATTCTCCATATTCAGCTTGTGCGTGGGGAGTATTGACTAAAGTAAGTTCGATCGGCCGCCGGGTAACCATATTCGAGCCTTTGGGAAGAAATTCATGTCCGACGATGGCTTCAAGAACGGAGCTTTTGCCGGATGACTGTGAACCAATGACCACAATCGATGGCAATGTGAGTGTGTTGGACTGGCCAACGGCTTGAAGTATGTTCCTGATCTCGATCATTTTACGAGTAAGGAGCATCATCTGGTCGTCCTCCGCATTCCTCGTCAATCGGGCATGCTCGTCATCTTGATCGTACCCTACAGCCGCCGCTCCTGCAGCTGCAGCTGCACCAGCCCGGCTTTCTCTTGGGGGTTGCCCTCCCCCGGAACCGTCGTTTTGGGAACCCTCACTGAAACCTAGAACGTTTTGCAACCATTCAGGGACTTCCACGCTATCTGTAGTCCTTTGCCAGCCACGCTGTGTCTGTTCGGCCACATTTTGGATTTCGGAGAAAATGGATGAAGCAGCGTCACCGGCCGATTCCCCCGCGCGTTTCAACACGTCAATAGCGTAGTTTCCTGCCTCTATAGTAGTCATGAAAATTAGATGAATAGGTCTTGAGATTGGACGATAAGAACATACGTGTAGTTTGATATTGAATATAAGCTAACCCAGCTACTGTAGCCGTTCCAAGCATAGCGGGCACCTTCACTAATTTTAGGGCCAGCTTTGGAAGAATCCTTGCAAAAGAGATCCCCCGCACAGCGGGGACATTATGAATCGAGTTCGCACCGACAGGCCAGGCGCGTCCTCGAAGTGCGGTGCTGCCATCTGAACATAGAAGACCTCCGGTTCTTGCACCAGCGTTATGAACATGGCGGGCCAAAAAGCCTGTCCGCAAGAGCGGAACCAGACGGTGGGAGAGAATTCTCCCGCTCATGGTTCCCAAAATCGCATAAACATCAAGCGGATCGAAAGGATAGAATTGGTCATCTCCGGGCTAGAAGCCACGGCCGTAGACTGAGGTTGCTGGTGCGTCGGACAATAGCAGAGCGCAAAATGATCGGATGTCATCAAATGGTCCTACGCGAAAGCGAACCCCGGCACGGAGAACCTCGTGACCTGCGCCAATGGCCGCTTCGCCGTCCGTATGAGGTCGGTGTGAGTCACGTGTGGATGAAATGGCGACATTGACGTCTTAGGTACTACTGAAGCACAGACGTACTTGTTTTTATATATATTACTCCTGAAGATCCTTTGTATTTATTGAATTGAATTCCTTCTATACTTCAGTTATTTTCTATTTGTTTAGTGGTTGTTGGGTTTTACCTTTGTCAATCGTGGAACATTCTCCATCTTTAAACCTCTTCAGAAGGTGCGACTTCGGCCGCCGGGCAATAGAATTGCTACTACACCGTACTCCGGTTACGTAGCTATATCCCTTTCTTGGAAACATTTTTTATCGTTGAGTTCCTGGTTGCAAACATAGAAACTCCTTTAAAGAGGGTTTCACATCTCCCGCTATGTGCCGTTTTCTGGTAAATCAATCTATACTATATCTATGCGTCATACAACTGACCGCTATTTTCACTAGGTATACAAGGGCCGACATGAGATACGTCTCAGCAAACTAGTAACAGAGCCCAGTCATTCAATTCTGACTCAATCATATGATTCTCGTCTTAGACTGGTGAGTTGTAACATGAATCATAGCCTGGAGACTTCATGCAGCCCTTCCTGTATAAGTAAACATAATTTAACCCGCTGATTACAGGACAACCGCCGTCCAGTAAACGGTGACGGCTTCGGAGTAGGGTTCTATACGGACCCGAAGCTTGGCCCAGAGCCATGTATTTTCACATCCACACTCCCAGCCTGGAACTGTGAGAATCTCGAGCGGTTAGCATCCAAAACCTGCTCCAATCTGATCTTCGCGCATGTCCGCGCAACCACAGAAGGAGCCCTATCAGATAACAACTGCCACCCATTCCAACACAACACGTTGATGTGGATGCACAACGGTAATGTTGGTGGCTGGCAGTATATCAAGCGGCCGTTGGGCGATTCGCTCGCGGATCGCTGGTATCTGGGTGTGAAAGGCGGCACTGATAGCGAATGGGCCTTTGCGTTGTTCCTTGACCTCTTGGAGAAGGAGGGCGTTGATCCGAGCTCGGACCCCGGACCAGAGGGCTTCGGGCAGGCGCTCCTGCGACGGGTGATGGTTAAAACAATTGCAAAGATCAATGAGTTCATTCGGGATATACCCAAGAGACATAATGTTTCTGGTATTGAGACCCGCAGCTTGCTCAATTTTGCTGTGACGGATGGCCATACGGTGGTTTGTACGCGGTATATCAGCAGCAAGACGGATGAACCTGCCAGTTTGTACTTCTCATCAGGTACCAAATGGAAGGAAGGAAAGGTCAAAGGTCACTTCAAGATGGAACGTCACGATAAGGGAGCCGACATTGTCCTAGTGGCAAGTGAGCCGATTACGTTTGAGAGACGTGAGTTACATCCTACTTAGTCCACAGGATTGAGGGCTAACTTTTATAGATAATTGGGTTTCGGTTCCCGCGAACTCGATTGTCACCATCCATAAGCAGACGGTCCTCCTACATCCCATCATGGATGAGTTCTACAGCGAGGACTTAAACCAGGACCGCTCATCCTGCTATGCTGTGTCGAAGGGCCTCGTTAGCACGGGCCCTGGTACCACAGTCCAACCTCAGAACACTGAGTCGAAGGCTCCTACAATTAGCGTCAATGGTGCTAGAGTAGACGATCACGCCGGAGGACTAGCCCAGCATCAACTAGAGTTCGCTAACAAATGTGCAATTTCACATTGAGGGCTTTCGCATGCTTCAAGGTATTAAGCTGGACTTAATGATTACTCAACAATTGAGGTCATTGGCGTTGGTATTGGGTTGGGATATTCTTCTTTCTTGTCGCTGATACGGGATACAACATTTAATCTTAGCACACATAACCTTCTTGACGGGGTCTCTTCGGGGTTATAAATAGAAATTATGTTTTCACATTGGGTGTCTTGAGTTTCAGGTCTGGAATCGTGGCGTTTAAAACATTACAAGACAAAAAAAAAAAAAAAAGGTATTATACAAGAATGGTAGACATTATGTATCGTCACCCGATATATTGGCATGCTTGAAATATTTCATGCCCACCCATGCAACCACAACCCACACCCACGACATAACGGCCGTCAAAATAATCAGAGCAGGATAATACCCAATGATGGGGAGTGTCGGATCATCCTCAAGCTCCGGAGGTGCATAAGGAGTTTCTCCAACATCCCAAGCCCAGCTCCAGACACCAAAGCAACTGCCCATTCCCACAACAAAAACAAGCCATGTCACTATCAGGATAATCCAGCCCCACCACTCCGTTTCTGAATAATCCCAGTTCATATCCTGACTACTAGGTATATCAACCGCATGCGTCGCAAGAGGAGATTTGGTACGATGCATAGCTCGGTACGTTGAGTCTGCCGAAAGCGCATAATAGGAATCCGAGCTCGAAGAAGCGGATTGAAGATGTAGGCCCGCAGCTGCAGCAACAGCGGCATTTGTCTTTTTAGCACGAGGGAAAGACACAATATCCTCATCATCGGTAGTTATCTCTCCGCCAAGAATACTATTTTGGGAGCGGTTCTGCCGGTGATGGTGAGCGGATTGATCCAGTGACTTTGGCGACGCATTCATGAACCCTTCCCATGCCATATCATCCTGACGACTATCTTGTTCCGTATTTCCGTGGGGTGCATTACTCTGGTCCGGGGAAACTGGGTCAGGTAACGGTTGTTGCATTCGTGAGCCTGTGGCAAGCTGTTGCTGTTGTCCGATAACCTCTCCCCGTGGCATGTCGATCGGTGCTCGTGTGGCTTTTTTGTCTCGATATTCAAATCGCGTGCCTAGCAGGGCAGTTTTTCGTAGTGAGCCCTTCCTCCTTCGCGTTCTTCGCTGTTGTAGCGCGCTAGCCATTGCTCTGCCTCCCCGTACACTGGAGCCAAAACCATCGCTATCATCCCGGTCGATGCCGGAATGAGCCCGCTCTGGGGTATTATGAGTCGCTTGTATCATGCGTAAGAACGAGAGTTTGGATAATAGTGAGCCGGATGAGCTGCGCTTGTGTCCGCTGCTTGCGCTCTCTGAGCGTGTCCGTCCGGAGAGCTGATCATCGTTATCCAACGATAGTGCCTCTCTGCTGTTGTCGCTTGCATCTTCCATTAGCGCAAGCTGGGCGTTATTAGCTCAGCTGGCCATTAGCCATCGACATCCAGATTTAAGTGTCTAGAATTGTACTTTTCAGTGGTTGGTGTTGGCAGATTCCATCAAGCAAGATGGTTATGGGGAGACGAAGGGGGGAGTGACGGCGCCCGAGCCAAGCCAGCTGAGCCTCCGAGGCGGTACCTTCATTTAAGGTATTATTTACCCATGGGATTTGGTCAGGTTATCCGTACCATTGCTAATATATATATAGCACTTTTCTGAACAGAACTATTCTGATGGTAACCGCTACTGCTTAGGGAATTACTGTGGAAGAAAAAGATCAAGTCATTATTCATACAACAGCCGTTCTCAAAATTGTACTTGTTGCCGATAGCTGTCATATGTCTGCTAACTAATTGATCCAAGGCAGTAAAAGAGAAAAGATATCCGAAACTCCAGGGCATAAAGTCGTAATCTGGACCGAGGGATAACAATGGTCTCAACGATGGTATCATAAAGTAAGCATGAGAAAAAGTACCAACGAGATGCAACGCATAGAGGGGCCTCGGGATCCCGGGGACACATTAAGCTTGTTAGCGAGGTATTGATAAACTTGAAACAAGAAAGGTCCCTGAATAGATGAGAAAGCAAGACCGCTATCAAACCAGAAGAGGAATTTGGCATGTGAGCGTAGAGACACAAGGGCCCATTCATAGGCCAGGCATACATACTAAACGAATACGATACAAATTCATAGAAAGCGACTTATCAAGAAATAATAATCCAAAATAGATAGGGGGTCAGAGACATAAGGAAACAAGAATAGGTACTTTTAGTTTATTCCGCAGAACGCTTGAATCGAAAGTCCAAGAAGCTCTTAATAAAAGTAGCGCACATTCATGGAAAGCAAAGAGCATGAGAAAATTGACTCAACAAAGTGGACTCGGGGTATTGGGTGTACGATAACACACAAATTTCATTTCAAAGAGAAGCATTTGAGAATGGGAGATGCGCTTAGAAATCCACTTAGTAAGGGACAATCATGAAAAAGGGAGCACGGAAAAAAAAAAAAAAAAAAAACAGAAAAAAGATGGAAACAATGTGGTAGTACGAAGAAATTAAACGAGAAGGGAAAGGAGAGGAGAAAAGTAGAAAGGGAGAAGGAAAGAGCCTCTTCTTAACAAAGTTGTTGACACAGACAGCCCTGTTTATACTCGATTGTCCATCTGAGGAACGTTCGATAGGGCCGGCATGCAGCGAGGTATACTGGGCGATAGGCTACGCTTGGTAGCCTCCAAAGCCATTCCCAAAATTAGCGTTGTTGGCCTGGTTCCAGCCGGAGGCAGGGGCAGCTTGTCCACGGCCATAGCCTGCATTTCCTGGGACCTGGCCATAGTTCTGACCGCCCATTCCGGATTGATCCCAGCCTCTTCCAGCCGGGTTGGGACCTACGGTTTACGGTATTAGTCATAAAACCGAAAGTTGGATAAGGATAGGAGAAAAGTCACCTTGAGGAGTCATAGGTCCACCGGGTCCACCGTACTGAGGGAAATACGGGGCTGGGCTGTTGTTAAAGGGCGAATTGCCCTGTTGACCAGAGAAGTTGTCGAACTGGCCAGTAGGAGGACGGTCCTTACCCCACTACGACAGTTAGCCAAACGACATCAAATTACGAGAAGTAGGGAAGACCATACGCTGCACTTCAGGGGACGCCCGTTAACATTGTACCCGTTGAGCTGGCAGATAGCCATGGCGGCATTTTCGTGACTATCCATCTTGATGAACGCAAATCCCCGATCTGCTTGAAGACGAGTTTCCAGAACATAACCAAAGTTCTGGAACAGCGGGACAAGGTCGTTCTGCGTGGTGTAAGGGGTGAGGTTACCCACATAGCACGTGGTCTGCCACTGTGGGGTTTGCTGGACAACCATATCGTAGCTCTGAATGCCATGAGTAGGAAAGTGATGATGACCGAAAGCCGTTGTCGGGGTCATTCCCATGGCCGCCATCGCTTGTTGCTGAGAAATGGAGGGCTGTCCTTTCTGATTCGCCCAGTTACAGCGAATAGCACGAGACCCCAGCCACTCGCCGTCCATTGATCCCAAAGCTTTATCGGCGTCCGCACGGTCACGGAAGGCAACAAAACCGTAACCACGGGACCGACCGGTTTTCATATCCCACATGACACGCGCCTCGGAAACTGAACCGAAGGCTGAGAAAGCCTGTTGCAGGATTTCGTCGTTAACTTCGTTACTCAGATCTCCAACGAAAATGTGGAAGTGGTTCGAGGTATCTTCCTTGTTCGTGCTGTTGGACTGGTAAGCCCAGTTGACACGGATTTCCTGCAAATCCCGTCAGAGATGGTTCTAGAACGTATAGGTGGCTCGAATGACTATACCGATTGGTGAATGCGGCGCCCGTTGAGAGTTTGCATGGCTCGTTCAGCAGCGCCAGGGTCGTCAAATTCAACGAAGCCGTAGTTGTATCCTTTACTGTTGAACTTCTGCGGGAGTTAGTACGTAAGTTGATGTACCTTGAGCGGTTGACAGGTATGCCGATGACGCACAGAACTCACGTTCTTATCAGGAATGATCTTAACGCTGACAACGTGTCCAGTAGTCTCAAAAATTTGTTTCAAAATATCCTCTGTGACCCGGGGGTCCAGACCGCCAACATAAAGAGCTCTCTTGTTTGGCTCTGGGGCAGCCCGGCGCACGTACCCGCCGGCGCTGGTTGGGGACATCATATTTCCAGACATCGGAGAGGTGATCGCCGTGGGAATAGGATTGGTATTCTGCGGGATCACAACCGGAGGGCGAGGGGGCGGCGGCATATGGGAAGGATTGGCCTGGCCATTGCCCTGAGTCCCGTCGTACTGCTGGCCGGGAGCAGCAGAGGTCTGCGGAGGCGGAGGGAGAGTCGAAGGAGTTTGGGCGGGTACGTTATCAGCCATTGTTGCAAGGTCACAGGCCACAATATACAAGGAAACTGATCACTGAAACAATATAATGCACAAGTCAATGAATGTTGGTAGCGCTTAATGGGTGAGGGTGAGTGATGAGAATCTTTTGAGGACGGGGCGATGCAGAACGTTACGCAGTCACCGAATTGGTTAAAGGTCGAAAGGCGGAAAGCGACGCGGGGATCTAACGCCCAGAAGAACAAAAAGGACAAAACAGGGAAGGGGAAAAAAAAAAGGGAAAAAGGGAGAGGAAAAGGAAAAGGAAATTAGTGGAGCATACAAGGAAGCGCAGTCGTCAAAAAATAACGACAGGAAAAAGAAAAGAAATTAGAGAAAGGGTGAGGCAACAGCTTCGTGACGGATGAAGAAGCGCTAGAATCCAGACGACTCAAAACACGGCTTTCTCCCCAACAAGTTAAACAGGTGGTAAAAAAGCTTAAGATTCGGGGGGATAAAACACGAGAGAGCTGGAGGAAATTGATGCAAAAAGAAATAGGAAAGAAAAGAGATAGGAAAGCAAAAAACAAAAGGGAAGAAAAACCCAATCACTCAGGTCTCGACGCCAGCGAAAAGTGCGATAGACAGCGTGAGAGATGAAATAAAATGGAAATGGAAACAGGGGAAAAGAAAAGCTGCGATGATCTGACCTGACGGGAGTCTGAATGGAGAAAAGAACGAGGAGTTTGGATGGTCAAGAGCCGCTTGGGGTGAGGGGCGCACTAATCCCCTTTGCGTTAGTCCTCCCTTGACGGGTCGCTTTCCATTGAATCCATTCAGGTAAAGCGCTTAATTCCTCCACTGCTCATCAATTCGACCTATCGTTCGAAACCATTAGCCTAGGGTCTTTTGGTTCGCTCTTGTGGTAGGTAATGATATTCTTTCTCCTTTGTGCAGAACATTAAAAGTGCCTACGATCTTACATCATCATGACTGTTCTCCTGCTGTTCTTTTCATTGGTCTCGTGTGGTCTCAGAAACCAGTAGTACCTGCCTCAGCCAGTACTCCCGCGTCGCGGAAGTGCTATTGGAGCTCCTGCGTTTGATGTATCTCCCGTCTCATTCCAGATTTCAGGGACCCCTGTTACAACTTGCGTCAGCTGCAGACCTGACTTGATCAACTAACAGAACCCCTTAGGGAACCCCTTAGCCTCAGAGAAGTTCGTATCTTCTGCTTTCATCCAGTCATCATCCTCGAGCAGATTACATCCAATACGACGCGACACTGCCACAGTGGCTATGGCTACTTCGGATCTTTCAAATCCAGATTCTCTGGCCGTCTTAACGGCAATGGTCAATCAAACGGTAATGCCCCTCATGGACAAGTTTATTGTAGCACAAAAGCACTGATCCTCCTCAGCTTATCGAAACCGGCCGCTTTTTCCGATCAGGGGGTTCTACGCAATCCAGGGCCCAACTCAAGCGTTCACTTCCAGTCGCTCATGAGCAATTTCAAAGCGCGCTGGACAATCTCTCCGAGCAGATCGTATGTGTTTTACACTTCCGTAGACCAACGGAGGCACATGGTTCGCTGATCTTACTGATCAACATTAGTTCATTGCCAAGACGTTCCTGGAGAGGGACTACGAGGCGATTGCAGCCCAAAAGGCAGCACTGCAACCAGCCGAAGATGTTGTTATGAGTCAATCAGAGACCATTCAGGACCCCGAAGCTGCGCCACAGGTGGAGGCAACAGCAGTTGACACAAATCAAGTCCAATCAGAACCATCCAAGGCTGACGCCGTGCAATCACATACAAGTGTCGATGCCGGTCAGCAGAACTCTAGTGAAACCCTTGTGAAAGAAGAGAAGCCAGCCGAATCTGCTGCGGTTGGTCCCAATCAGTCTCAGCCTGGGCCCAGTGAGATCAATTTCGATTCAGTTCTCGATGATACTGGCGGGGCGAATGACTTCGATCTGAACTTAGACTTTGGGGATGACGACCTTGGGAACGAGAACTTCTTGTCAGGATCCAACCTTGGTACTACCAATACAGCTAGTGCCACCGAGCAGGAGAAGGGGGTTGACCAAAGTGGGAACACGACAACTGAAGTCCCTGGTTTGGAGACTGGTGCCGCCAACATCCCAACTGGGGGGGATATGTTCGACCTAGAATTGCAGAAGACCGAGGCATTTTCCGCCCAAAACGAGGCCCCAGAAGGGCAACAAGGTAACACCACTGAAGATATTATGGCTCCGGGCGAATCTAGCTTCGATGACTTGTTCATGGATAATGAGAATTTTGGCAGTGGAGACGTGGGAGACCCTAGCATGCTGGAAGGCGATAGTTTGATGAATATGAATGAGCTCGATGATAGCTGGTTTACTTAGGGGTGACTCTTATCCAACGGACGAACGGGAGAGGTTTGGGGGGTTACCACTCATGGACAATGGCAATGATTATCGGTTATAGACAACGTTTCATGAAGGGGAATGAGAAAACTCTACTTGGCTACCGACCTTCGTCTCCCCTCACTCGCCGAGACACATGGCAAGGTTCATGCAAGGGGTGACGGTCGTACCTGAAAACGTAATGATAGTTCGTCATTTTAGCCGATCTACATAGAATGTAATATCAACTCTAAGTGAGATAAACTCTACCGGAGCCACAAGGCTGAGCAGGCATGTTCGCTTGGGTCACAGGTCGCGTAACATTGTTGGCTACGTAAAACCACCCCAAGGGGCTTCGTATACGTTCGGACATACGTAGTTTTGTGATTGTTTCTGAATTAAGCACTGCCATTGAGGGTCGAGGTTGGTGAGGGAAGTAAAACAGGGGTGGGGGGGAAGAAAAAAGGAAAAGGGGAAAAGCAAGAGAGAATGAAACTATTCCCAAACCGTTGTGTTTATTTTGGAATTAAGAGTGACTTAAGGTACAAACTGCCCTGAGTTGGGCATAAACATTCTATGAACATTCTATGAGGTCATCGGCTCGTGGAAAGGAAATCAAATCGCTCTCGGCTTCTAGAAAACAGATTAACTCATCTTCGGAAAATAATTGCACAATCCTGGAATGGAATGCAATTCCTTCATTCCAATATGGCGGAATTATGCGATCTCATCTACTGTGTATCACCTCCCTCGACACTCCAGTGAAAATCTTCTCGTCAATTGATGACTAG